AACAAAGATTCTGTATCGGACACGTCGATTGTTTTTTTTAACAAAAACTTTTTTTATACAGGGTGTGTCATGTGGCAGTGGCCAATACCAACTTTCTTCTTTCAAATGCAACACCCTATATATTATTCAAGTTTAAAATTCTTCTAAAAATTGTAGATATATTTTATAAAAAAATAACATTAAATAACGATAATTATTTGATTGGGGACATTCGCTACAACACACTGAAAAACTAATAAGTAATATTTATTGATAATGTAATAAACAAAAACTGTTCGTACCTACATAATATGTATATTATGTAGATATATTACAAATATAATTTTTTCTGTAGCATCAAAAATTCTGTTGAGCTTATTTAATTAATATTATTAATTTAATAATGTTGCGTGTCAAGATTATCGATCTCTATTGAATTTTAAATAGAACGCTTTCGTTTTCTATTTTTAGCCTTTCGATTGCATATACGTAATAATTTTGGATGGCTTTTTTCATAATGCCAAAAAAGAGATTATAATACACATTTGATTATGCTATAACATTCAATCTTTAGATTGATGTTTTAAATATAATAGATCTTGGATACCTATAAAAATCTATAAAGCTGTTGCAGTCTGGATTACTCCGAAACATAGCGTAATTTATCTACTTCTATATTGACGAGATGTGACTTTATGGAGTTTTACTCACGGGCTGAAGTTTGCAAGTGGCTTATGGGCATTTTAGTCACGGGCTAAAGTTAGCTTTATTATAAATTAGGGAAACGTGAGGTTTATTCCGTTAAAAGTTGACAGTTTAACAAATAAAATTGGCTTTAAATACTTCTTTGTGTTCGTCGTAGGTAAAGTATGGTATGTAATTCGTTTTATAAACTTCTCAAGACACTCGTTTTTATTAAAAACTCGCTTGCAAGCTTCGCTCGTGCCTAATAAAACTCGTAACTAAAATGTCGTTTATAAAACTTGATACATTATATACTATTGTACCTTTGTTTTTTTTATAATTATATTATAATTATTTATAATATCACGCCATAAATATTGCTAAATAATTTTATAAAGTTTTAAAAATAATAAATTTTATCTATTTGGTTATGTAATGTTTTATAATTTTTATTTACCATTAAATCATACAGCCTAAATTTATTATGTGGTTTTTGGACCACAATAAAATAAATTGATTTTTTAATGGTTTCCTTTTTGTATGTTTAATTTATAATAAATAATATTATTGAAATATTTAAATTAATACAAATGCAATCTATTTCATATACAAAACACAACACAAATAGTATTTATTTTTGTATAAATAACGGTTTTTTTATAAAACACCCAGTAGGTATATTGTACACATAATAATAATTTATTTAAAAAGTAATTAAAAAACAAAAACTTTACCCGGCGCATTCGCCATTTTTGTAAGTGTTTAAAATGGTCAAATAACGAACCAAGAAGCAAAATAATTATGACACATTCATCATTTTATTTCATTTTTATTTGCGGTCAACGAGACATAAAACACTGATTTAGTAATTCCGAAAACCATTTGCATCCCATAAAAAATCACAAACAACCTTGAAATGACCTTTCGAGACAAATGTTACAAAAACAATTCTAAACAAACTTAATAGGTTTTACGAATTTTGCTCAATTAAATTTGTGTTAAACTCTACCTTGCATTTATTCTCATGAACTTGGTTTCCGTCACGTTCCCCTCGACGACGTGCGCATGTTCAGTAGACACACCTTCAAACTAAGAATTCCAGCGCCAGCTTTATGATGATGCAATTGACATCGAGTTATGCATCAGATTGAGCTCATTTGGGGCTGCCTGTTTATTCCATTTAGAACGCAGAATGATTATACCGTTGAGTCTCAATCAACGATTATACACTGTCACATAAGAAAATTAGGTAGTTTAGAAGTTAATTGTAGTTAATTATTCTTTTCACTTCTATTTTTTTTGGTATTATTGTTTCCTTGAATTGCTTCGCTAATGTTAAGAAGTAATTAGGTTTAATAAGGCTTATTGGCATACAAAAATAATCCTCCACAATGTGGAATTAATAACTTCATATTATTATGCAAATTTTAAAACTGGTTAGGTATGGTCAAGACGGTAGAAATGATAAAAAATTGTTTGTAATTTCGTTCCAAATTAGAAATCAATATTTATTAGGCTTTATTTTATGAATTTCAATACCCGTTATGGATATCCGTAATGTGTTCAAATTTGCATAATATTGATAATTTGAAAAACAAATACTTGAATACTTACCTACGTATTTTTCCTTACGTTCATGTAAAATGGTGGGCAAGTGTGGAAAAATTAAAATGTTTTAAACAGTTTATTTTGACTAGGTATATGGTTTTATATATTTTAAAATATATTTTTGTTTTCCGTCATTGTTCTTACCAAAGTATTGATTTGGAATATTGGCTAATTTGACTTTGAAACACAAGTTCATATGAGCTTCATAATTGGACGCCTTTCTGCAGAAAGGAACCAACCCACAAAACCAAAAAAATCGAGATATTTAGCCTATGAACCAATTAAGTATGTATAATTTATCTGCAAAATAGGTCATAGCCAAAATGCAAGTGTAGTGAAATATATTAATCATTGAACCAACCATTCAATAATAGTGTGGATTACTAATCCAGAATTAGAATCTGTAGAAAGTGGGTTGGATCTTTTTTGTAAAAAAGCAGGCTGGTAGACCCACTACCAAAGTCTTTAAAGATTTCCTGCTTCTGCAAGATATAAAGTCTTGATGCATTTTTTTGGTAGCTTACAAGATGAGGTGGGGTTGGAAGATGATGTGGACGAATTTCAAATAAAATAAAAATTAATTCATATTACCATTATAATAGTAATATCAGTTGTATTTTGTTTGGAAATAAATAATTGTCGTTTTTCTTTAAATACATACATACATATATCAGATAGTAGTTTTCATAAATTGCAGAAAGGAACCAACCAACAAAAGTTCATTTTTTTCGTCACCCTTACACATAACATCACAAAATCCACCTGATGAAACTATTAAATTATATCCCTTAAACCTCCGTAAGTCCAAAATCGGCATAAAATTAACAGGTAATTTTAAAATTATTAAAATCTTTGATAGCTTTTTTCTCAGTTTCATCATGGTGTGGGTTGGTCCCATTCTGCAGAAAGCCGTCCAATTTATGTTTTGTATAGGAATCATTATTCTTGTTTTGTTAACTTTTTACCACTTGACATGTTTAGACTAATTTGGGAGTACAGACATTATCTTTTTGTCCTGAGCAAAACTTTTTAGAGTTAGGGTAAAATACTCTGTCCCACTTTCAGTTTGCCTCTCAAGCTGTTTTTTTTTCAACGAAAAAAAAATTTTATATTAAAAGGTTGATACAACAGCATTAAAATCATGTCGAAAATATTACTATTTATTAAATCATTATTATAATCTCAAAAATTACTTTTTTAAAACAACATAAAAATAATAGACCAGAATAATAAAGTCAACTAATAAAATATAATAAAATAGTATCCAATTTTTGGCCACCACTGTATGTAGGTATGAACTTTACAGACGTTTTGTGCTATTTTTAAGCACACGTGCATTTTTTATTTCTTTCTTTTTATCGGCAACAAAAAACTGAACAAGTAACAATGTTTGATCATTTCATCATTGAGAACGTGTCATTGGTCACGGCACTTATAAAATTCGAGAAGATGTAAGAAATAGCACGTGAGGCAAAATCGACAATGTGTTGTCGAACGGCTCAACAACTCGTGACGTAGGCGACGCGATCGGCACACCTCTGCCGCGCAGCCAATCGGCAGCCGGCTCGCGAAGGCTCGTTGAGGCTCGAAGGGGGAAGCCGCTCCCCCCTCTACCCTGCCGCACCGCGTTCGCCCAAAAACATGAATGGTTATCTTGTATATGCGCAAGTTCCCAATTCAGTTTAGAACGTGGTGTGTTACAGTTTGGTGGTGTTGTTTGGATGTGTGATTGATTGGTTTGCGATAGTTATTTTTTTTTAGAAAATGGGCTATCGAAGGAACATTCTCAATCCATCGATTAAGGTACTAACCACTAGGAGTTGAATTTTGCCGGGTGCTCGCAATTGGACCGTTTGCAGGGGTGTGTTCGGTCTATCGACATAAATGTTGACGTTTACGTATCGGGCACATGGCTTTTTATCGCATTAGTTTGTACGACTAACTGTGTTTTCATTCAATGTTTTATCGTATTTTTAAAATTATCCAATAGTGGCTTTAAATCACTACATTTTAAAACAAATATTGATAAACAGTCGCCTTATTATGTCAAAATTCGCAGTATTCTTATCTCTGAAAAAATTATCCATAAATATATTATAAATAAATATAGGTATGTTGTTTTTCTGCTCATAATTTTACATTTCATAACAATAACTTATTTATTGATTTATGATATTGGTATTTTAGGATGATACCTATATCGTGATACTTTTTAAATTGACAGTATTACCTAGGTACACACATATTTTACAATACTGAAAAATAATTAAGTACGAGAAACTCCCTTATAACTTACACGTATATTCATAAAAAAGTACCTATTTTTTATCGTACTTCCGATACTTCGGGTACGTTATAATCAAATTTTCCTGTAAATTAATGCTAATGTAAAACCAAAATACTACTGTTTTTGTTCGTATATAGGTATACTATATATAGGATTAAACTTTATACTATAAAGTAACTAACTACGTAATGTGCTTCTAATAATTTAACAATAATTGTTGAATGCAACTATATTACATACTTTAAAAAGGTTATTATCAAGGACTGTCACCTTGGAATATTAATTGTTGCAAATCTATAAATATCTAACCATTATAATTCAAAAATGAATATTTTAATACTACTTAAGTATTGTAATATAAAAAAAACAATAGATCAATTTAATGTCCAGAATTTAACATGTACATAAGTTTATAAACCTAATTGAAATGGGTTATTTTCAGGTTAAAGAAAAACTAGCAGAGCTGGTTCTGGACAATGATAAATTGAAAAAATACATCGAAATATTTACAGACAATATAAACAGAGGTTTAAAGAAGTCGACAAACCCAACTTCGATCGTCAAATGTTTCCCTACATACGTACAGGATCTTCCCAATGGAACAGGTAAATAAGCATTGTAATATATTTCATTTAAAATTATCAGAAATAAAAGAATTATTTTTTCTTAGTTTAAAGACTACATTTTTTATTTGGAATGTTTAATATTTATATTAAATCAGAGACAAGGTCTCTGGTACCTACTATGATAAGTCGCAAAACTCGCTAATCGAAAAACGTTAAAAAAGGTAGGTAACTTCGCCAGTAGTCAGCCACATAAGGGATTTATTTTTTTTGGTTTTTTGTCAAAAATACTATTTATCAATTTAAAAGGTGCAAATTTAAAAAATATATTAAATGACATATTTAACTTTTATAATTAAAAACAGTTTTTATTGTATTTTTTTAGTTATCGATTATATTAAAAATATACAAAGTTTCCTATAGTCAGCCAGTTTTTTTTAAGTCAGCCACAAGTATGCCAATAGTCAGCCTAGGTACTTTAAAAATAAAAAAGCAGAAAAAACAGAATAAATTTATTTTATTACAATAAAATAACAAATTGTTAAGAAATAAAAGTATGACAAAACAAATTTCGTTTATTAAAACAAAATAAGAAATTGGTAAGAAATAAAACGAAATAACATAACATAGGTATTTTCTTAAATATAAATTAAAAATTAAATAGAACAGTATTTCTTAAAAATATACTGGTACTTCTGAAGTGTTTTTTTTTCTTATTACACTTCACAAAAATTACGTTTAAAGTCCATGTCTGACGGTGCAATTTCTCGCGGCGACTTTGTTGCGGCGACTAGTTGCAGCGACTTTCTCGCCTCCACACGGTGCAACCAAACTGACGTTATTTTCTACTAGGATTGCCAACATAACCGAAAATTACTTAGTTGAAAAATAAAAATACCTAAACAAATTTAATGTTTATTTAAATCGGTTTTGTTTTTCTTTTAAAGTTATAAGTATTTTGTGGTGTAAAAATAAAAACACTCAAATTAAAGCACACGCAAATCACATCTGTCATTCCACAGCTGATAAATATTAAGTACCAACCAAAAAATTTAGTGAAAATTCGTAAATCCCTAAAAAAGTTACTAAGTCGCGGCGATTTTATTGCATGAAAATAGAACATGTTCTATTTTAAGACAGGTTAGATCAGCTGATTAGTTGCATCGTGTGACCACCAAAAAATCGCGGCGACCTAGTCGCCGCAACAAAGTCGCCGCGAGAAGTTGCACCGTCAGACATGGACTTAAGTCTTTCTAATTTTCTTTTAGCTATTTCATATACAGCTTTTTTTATTATCTATCTTTTTTTGCAACGTATCTCTAAACTCAGCGGAAGAAATGGCTGCGGGAAGACGTTCCTTTTTGGCTCTTTTATTATGATTGATAATGTTGTCTTTATTCATTGGAAAAAATAAATGTGTTTTAAAAGGTGCATTACATGGAAAAAATGTTTTATTTTCTTCTAAGGGTTCTATAGACTAACCGGCCGGCAAGGCTTATGGATAATTTAGACGGTCTATTACTCAGCCACCACGAAATAAATATATTGGTGACGATTTAACCTAAAAACAAATATCTACCATATACGTATAAACCTATTTAAGCTTATAACATTATTTTTCCTAGAAAAATACAGCCCTATTGCACTTTAATGACTATTTTCTAGCGTCACACAACTTAGCAAATTAAGAGACTTTACTTACCCAAACACAGCCGCTTAAACACGACACTAACCAAGCAGCCACCTGTTTAAACGTTACACAATAGTTGGCGGGAAAAATGGCGGACTACTGGGATAACTATTTCAAAATTCAAATAAAGTTATTTTCTTGTTTTTGGTCGTTATTTACAATAGTGGCTGACTACTGGCAATGGCTGGAATCAGAACAACCTACCTATATATTTAAATTTTAAGCAGGAATTTAAATTTCAAATAGTGTAAAAAATAGTAGTACCTATATATATATTACGTTTTAAAACGTTATTAAAACGTAATTTAAGCTGAGGTTGACATGTTTGATAGAATACTTTAATCATCACAACTTTTATTAACAAATTAAAACTTTTTATTTTTTATTAAAACAAATAAAATTAATAAACGAAGGGTACATAAAAAGTTCATTAAAGAAAGTTATAATATTATAAGTACCTACGTAATATTAAATTGAACAAAAAAACAACAAAAATTCAACAACAAAAAATTAATAATATACTCTCTTAAAATGTATTAATCAAAAATAACTAATTGTCATAGTGAAAAAGCAGATAATAAATTAATAAGAACAATATATTTTTTTCCGGTTAAAGTAAATATGTCGATATGTATGTGTATAAACGGTTTGATTGAACGCCCGGTACCTTCATTAAAAGGTATATTATTATTTACTAATAATGTTAAAAATTCATTAATTAACTAAAAATGGTTAATAAAATTGTTAATGAAGTTAGAGTAAACTGGTTTATTCTTCATGGACAATATGACAAACTTATTGCTAGAACATGCAGACACTTCTTTTGAGTAGTTATTTTTCTTTATTTTAATAATAATAAATATCAGAAAAGTTTTGTTATTTATAACAAATTAATACACATGAGCAACATTTTATCAGTTTTTCTTTATATTATTAGGGTAATTGTAAAATATCTTTGTTAATATTAACTTTAGATATAGGGAATAGTTATATCAATGAAAAGGTAGTATAATTTCATATTTAATTATGTAAAAATATACAGGGCGTTCCATTGAAAATAAAAAGTTATTGCTGTTTTAAGTTTGCTACATTCACATTGTTTTATTTAAGCATCTTTTTAGAAATATTACAATAAATTATATGGAATCTTTAAAACAGTGCTTTAGGATTTCAATAAATCCAACCGAATATCAGCAAACCTAATATTAGTCATGATCGCCTGATCTTAATCCTTTGAAAAAATGAGGTTGAGATATAAAATAAACATTTTTTTTAGATATCTGGGAACTGAAAATTTATTAAACATGTTTGCATCTATAGGGTGCACCAAGTATCTATATGGATGGGTATCTTTTTTTATTTTTGGAGCAAATAGTCTGAGCACCAATACAAAATGACCGCTTACAAAAAAATTAACATCTAAAAAATTAATAAATTTGTCAACCACCTTTTAAAATTATAGTCTTAGGGCTGTACAAAATATTTATATATCGCGGTTGAAAATACACAAACTATAATTTGTTAATGGCTGATAACCACCTTAACTCGTTAATATTATCGTATACGCGCAGTCCATCCTTACCTATCCTGCAATGATAAAAATAGGTTTTAATAACAATAATAATATATTTATTTGCCCAACAGAATACAAAATTCCAATTACAAGACAAAATAATAAGAAAAATAAATATTTATATAATAATGCAATTCAATGAAACTATAAACTAATTGTTAATATTATTTAGTTGTAAATTACATATATTAATTAATGAGCCTAAAGTTATAAAATTAATATCACAGTCAGCCCTAGTAGCAATGGAATTGGACAAGATTCTTTGTCAAGATACTTGGAGAAGCACTTTGTAAAGAATTGACCAAGACTCTTGATCAAAATTCTTTATCCAGACTGGTGGCAGACTTGGACAAGTCTGTGACCAGAATTTGACCAGATTCTTGGCCAAGAATTTTTACACGATTACACGTTAAATAAGAACTTTCAATTCAAGATTTTTGGTCAATACAAAATTTTGTTGACCTTCAAAAGTTAAGAATGTTACTAAAAACCACAGCAAACGAAAAATTATAGAAGTGTATAGGATGACTCCGCGTTTGAATATCAAATCTTAAAGTTTTATCATAACTGTATTGAATCGTGCTTTGTTTTTATATTTTTCGGCTCTATACCTATGCACGACTATATTTAAAGTCAAACTCAATGGTGTCTTACAAGATACATTATTTTGATTTTCTATATTCAACAGAGGAGTAGAAACTCGACCCTGTCGAATGGTGCAGTCATATATGTCTCTAGAAATTATTAAAAAAGGTTTCAGTCCAATGGTGCAGCAACTTCGGATTCCTATTCTCCTCAGAGACATAGAAACTCAAGCTTTTCGAATTTTACTGGCAATGATTTTCGTTAATGTCCCCGAGAATTATACAAAAACAGCGCAATGCAATATCGCAACGGTTTCGACTTCTCTTTACTCTACCAAGTTATAGAAACTGGAGTCTCTCTAATACTGTTCTAGTCAATATTTCTGAGAGTATAAAAAGAGGGTGTAATATTGCAAGAAGTTTTGATCTTTTGATGGATGAATTTTCTCATTTCTCCATATGATATTGTTGAAAATAGTTCCTTTCTTTGGTTCCTTTGTCTGATTTTTATTTACCGTAACAACTCAGGTATGTAAAGCACAGAGGATATGATGTTAAGTATATTTATGTATTATATAAAGTACCTATATTTGTAGGTATTAAAAATTTAAGAGGTTATGTTGAAAAATGATCGATATGCTATTAAACTTTAATAATTTAGTAATTAGGTCTGTTGGTAGACCCTGCACTATCTCCACTGGTATATGTTAGTTTTGTAATATTTAAATCTGGTTGATGAAAAAGTACACACCAGTGCAGGTTATTGTAGCATCTACGAACAAATGAATTAATGGCCCATTGGCAATTATTCCTTTAGGAAAAATATTCAACACAGCTTAATTAATTAATAAAATGAAAAAAATCACAATCATGTCGTATATAGTTTTTTTAAGCATAAAATAATTTTTATATTAATACTAGTTCAAAAGTGAAATTACGACCTCTATACTGTGGAGAGTATTGAAACGCTCGACTGACGAATACAACTCTATACCGTAGGGAGATTTAGAAATCGATATTCAAACGTGGCGTCATCCTATACACCTCTATAATTTTCCGTTTGCTGTGACATTAATTTTCCACGATTTCTTTCCAGTAAATTCGGTTTTTATCCATAAATCTGGTAAACAATAGAATTAAAAATGAAACAAATTTTGAAAGAGTTAAAGTTTTTAATTTTCTATGTTAAATAAAACCAGGTGCCCGTAAAAATAAACATGTATTTTATAATCTTTCATGTTCATAAAGAGTAAACTCTAGTTATGCGTCAGAGCTGACGCATACATTATTGTGAATGATACTACTGTAGAATGAGAACCTCTACTCTATAGGATAGTCCCAAAGTTTAGCAATATATGGCCTCAGATTTCTGGTCAAATTCTTGTCAAATTCTGGCCACAGTCTGGCTCAAGTCTTGCCCAATAATCTTGGCCAAGAATCTGGAACAATTCTTGAGCAAAAATCTGTCCAAAGTATCTTGACCCACGCTGGGCCAAGACTTTTCCGGAATTGCTACTAGGGCAGGTAGACTATTGAAATTGCGAGTCATTAGTTGAATGGGCGACATTAAATGAAGATTTGTTCTTGAGCCCTGAGTATAGAAAACTGAAGTAGACCTAGCATTCAGTCTTGGAATGCGAAAATCGAATTGTGATAGGAGAATAGGTGAATCAAGTTGTTGCAATAATTTATAAAGGATTAAGTATCACCGAATTCATAAAACGCCTCGCAGATAGTAGTTGCATTTCAAAACGATTCAAGATATTTAATTGATTTGATAAACTAAAAATTAATTTAATAATAATTATTTATATAATTATGTTTTTGCAGAAGAAGGAAAATTCCTTGCTCTCGACTTGGGAGGCACGAACTTTCGTGTTCTGCTGGTCGAACTTCACGGCGACCAGTGCGAGATGAAGTCGAAAATCTTTGCCATCCCTCAATCCATCATGACCGGATCGGGCGAGCAGCTCTTCGACCACATCGCCGAGTGCCTCGCCACCTTCTGCAAAGAGGAAGGCCTCGAAGGCGAGGTGCTGCCTCTTGGGTTCACCTTCAGTTTTCCTCTCGTGCAGAAAGGTTTGACGGTGGGTGTCCTGGAGCGGTGGACGAAAGGGTTCAAGTGTTCAGGAGTGGTCGGTAACGATGTCGTGCAATTGTTGGAACAGGCTATCTCCAGGCGTGGGGTAAGTTATAATTTCATTTGCCAATGGATTAATTATTTAGTGAAATTACCAAGCCGTCCGTTTTCTAAATCCCCTCTTTTTATATAAGGTGCACCAAGTATCCTTCTTTGTATGGGTTCTTTTTTATTTAAAGAGCTAAAGGGTGGCTTGAATAAGAAAGGTTGCATAATTACAATTTTAGTTAAATGGCATTTAAAAATTTAAAAAAAACTGCGGTTCTTAAATAATTTGAAAAAAACTGTAAACCTGTCAAAACAAAAATCGTTATAATTTTGTTATTCCTGGTAATTTTGAAGAAAAGTAAGTTTTACATGTAAACATAGTATGTTTAACATACACATACTTGTATTTATCTACATTTTCATTCAATGTGTGATTTTTTCGCCCACTAGATTTGGAGTTACCACCACCATATTAAGCTTTTTCTATGTCCGCCATAATGGAATTTCACATGGTTAGTTAGAAAAAATAATCAAGGAATCCAACGATGTATACAACTACATAAATTATGGCGGCCATTATAAAAACAATAGATGGTAATGGTAAATCAAAATACAGTAGCGAAGAAATTGGATGATGTTTGCATGTAAAACTTACTTTTTTCTTTCAAAATTCCCCGAAATAGCGAAGTTATAACGATTTTTGGTATTGAAAGGTTTTTAGTTTTTTTATAAATATTTTGAGAACCGCTGGCTTCTTTAGCAATTTATTTTAATTTGACCGAAACGGCAGCTCTTTAATTAAAAAAAGTACCTATACACATTCGCTTGGTTATGTCACCGTATACAGGGTTCTATTTTGCCGCATTATCACAATACAGAGCTCGATTGTATTCAAGTACTTCTGTATTCGAATACTGTGATCGAATACATGTACATTTTTTGAACAATTTATCAAAAAATACGAAGAGAGTACATTTTTCAAAATAGATTTTGTTATTTTTAAATAACCCAAAATGAAATTAAATAGATTTTAAAACTTCTTTTATTTTGAAAATGATTATTGTTCAAATTTTTTAACTAATTTTTTGCATTGTTTTCCTAAGCTTGCAAGAGTACCGTGCTCGGCTACTGCCTCACAGCTCGCCCTTGTACAGGAAAATAAATTATACTATTTCTTTCACATCATCGCAAAGTATTACTAGTTTTTTAATTTCTATTGGACGCCTTGACGTTTAATAGGACAATTTTAAAATATATATTTTTTTGTAAATATTGCAAAATATTGATGTATTACATTTTTAATGGTGCAAAATGAAATATTGGCATAGTATTGCATTTAAACATACCTTTAGAAGATCATGTAAATTTCAGGATATGCGGATATCAGTTATGGCAATACTAAACGATTCAACAGGAACATTAATGTCCTGTGCTTGGTACCATCGTAATTGCTATATCGGCACCATTATTGGTGAGTTTTAGAGTAACTCCTGAATGTCAAACTCATATAGAGCATGATTAGAGAACGTTATAGAAACAATTTATATGACAAGCATGTCAAACTGTATACATCTTTTTACTTTGATATATTTTACGCTGCATCTTTATTTAAGTTTATTCTTATGTTATGCATGCTCTTTTATACTTTCTTTGCAGGACACTAAAATCGATGTTTGCGCCATTTTAAACGACACCACAGGAACTCTTATGTCTTGTGCATGGAAAAATCACGATTGTGCCATTGGTCTTATTATTGGTAGGTTCTGCCCATTATTTATTTGTCAATTATCATATAATGCAATTTAGCATGAAATTGTACATAGGTACATACAAAACGTTTTTAGTTGGTGGCATAAGAAACCTTTTTCTACTCCTATTGCATATTATTAAGATTATTTGGGTTTTCTTATTTAAAATAATTTAACCGCCCAGCCTAACAACGGGAATAATTAACTCATTATTTACGTTGTTAGGCATCAGTGATTGGCTGATTTTAATATTCAGTGTCATTTGAACCAATCAGGTTTTAAATTGGGAAAAAGTGGGGTTAGAACTGTCAGATTTTTTAATATATACGATGGGCGACTATATTGATTTTTAAAATGTGGAGATACTGAGGTTATTATACATTACTTAATTGGAGTAGAAAAAGCATAGTATTACACTTCAGCATTATGTCTCGCATAAGAATATACTTCTATTTTCGAAAATACAAACTAATTTGAGGGTATGTTTTTATTTTAGGAACTGGCAGTAACAGTTGTTACGTGGAAAAACAAGCAAACGCAGAGTTGTTCGATGAGCCCGACATGGGTTCCGGTGAAGTACTGGTAAACACCGAGTGGGGTGCGTTTGGTGATGACGGTGCCCTTGATTTCTGCAGGACAGACTACGACAAGGAAATCGATAAAAACTCCATTAACCCCGGATATCAAGTGTAAGTAATAGGTACCAATACACAAGACGTAAAAAACAGGATGTTAAGAGTATATTTCTACATACAATCACAATAAAAGTTCCCAATTGTCTGTTATTCATCAGATATTTCGTATATTTGCTTTTTGTTTTTAAACCCCAAAAAAACCCACAATTTTTTGAATATTCAACAGTTTACGAAAATTGATATTTTTATTTAAATTTCAATAAACGGAAAAATATTTTGTATTTTGGAAATTTCTTAAAAACAATTTTTCGTTTTTCCGTTCGACATTCGCGTGATCTATCTTGCACCTAGAAAGTTTTTTTGTCCCAACAGTTTCTTTTTTAAATTTCGTTTGTAATCTTTCAAAACAAAATTCTAATTTGACCTCTAAGTAGCGAATATTTGGGGGATTTCATTAAAAAAATACATTTATTCATAATAAAATGTTGTTTTTACGTTTTAGACATGAAAAGATGATATCAGGAATGTACATGGGCGAGCTAGTAAGACTGGTAATAGTAAAATTAATAGAGGACGGCGTGTTGTTTGGCGGCAAGGGTTCCGATCTCATAAACGAACGCGACCGATTCTACACGAAGTACGTGTCGGAGATCGAAAGCGACGCGCCCGGCTCATTTGAGAACGCGCGACAAATTTGCGAGGAGCTCGGGCTGAAGCATGCCGTCGACCAGGACTACGTCAACCTGAGGTACTGCTGCGAGGTGGTGTCGAGGCGGTCTGCGCATCTCGTGTCGGCCGGTCTGGTCACGTTGCTCCACAAAATGGGCAAACCCGTCGTTACCGTTGGAATCGACGGTTCGGTCTACCGTTTCCATCCCACTGTGCACGACGTCATGATGGAAAAAATGACAGAACTATGTGATCCAAGTATTAAAGTAAGTAGTATTGTTCATATTATTGTTTTAAGAGGTTATTTTATTCTAACACCAACTAAGTTTTAAAATTGTCTTAAAATAAGTCCACATGAATTTTTTTGTATTTTTTTTGTAACCTAAATATATTAGTGATAAGAAAAATATTGATAACAGTTATTAAATAGCTGCTACTCAAAAATAGCAGTTAGGAACTATTATTCATGATTCATAAGACCTGTAGTGTGGTATAATTCAGAAGAAATACTGGAGGTCATTCAGAGGAGAAGTTTAGTTGGTAACTGTCATCAAAATAATGGCAGATGGTGGGGATTTTTTAAAGTGTGTATGACTATACTCCTAAACCACAACAAATAGACTGATATCTCTGGTGGAAGGGGTAAAATATTATGTTAGTACACTTCCAAGATTACTGGCGCTGTTATCGATTCCTGGCAAATGTGTACGACATACACACTGTTGCCGTTCGCGGGATTTTACCCCAAAATAGGGTATTTTCGGCATGCCCGCGGGTAATATATTAAGCAGGTATTTTATAAATTTTGATCAAAATCCTTGCTAAAGAAATTTTTAGTTATCAATGTTTTATATTTACTAAATATATATATAATTATATAGATATATTTTATCATTGTAATTTTTGGTCGAAAACTTCATTCGGCAACACTGTCCAAACGAGTCGTTCTTGTTGACGCCATATTTGTTATATGACGCCATTGTTTATAATCTGTGATTGTTCATATTATTATTTTAAGAGGTTATTTTATTCTAACACCAACTAAGTTTAAAAAGTCAAATTCTTTTTAAAATCGTCTTAAAATAAGTCCACATGAATTTTTTGGTATTTTTTTTGTAACCTAAATATACTAGTGATGAGAAAAATATTGATAACAGTTACTGTTATTAAATAGCTGCTACTCAAAAATAGCAGGAACTAATATTCATGATTCATAAGACCTGTAGTGTGGCATAATTTAGAAGAAATACTGGAGGTCATTCAGAGGAGAAGTTTAGTTGGTAACTGTCATCAAAATAATGGCAGATTGTGGTCAGGGATTTTTTAAAGTGTGTATGAGTATACTGCCGGAATATTATGTGTCTGATCCATTCTGATTCTTCTAAAGGTTGAAAAATTAACCAGTATACATAAATTAATCATGCTGTGTATTTTGCCCCACATCAAAGAAAGTTATGAAAATGTCAAAAAACTGTTCGACATAATAAAGATCAATGATATTCCGTTTAAGTTTGTTGCGGATTTTAAATAGCTTCTGATCATTAATGTACAACAAACTGCCACCGCAACCTTCCCTTGTCTATATTGCTTCGTAACTTTACAAAAGTTAAAAACTCGGATCGAACTCGAGAATGATGAACAGGATCTTGTGGTAAAAACGTACGGAAATTTGCGACAAGATTACAAGGTATTTATATCTTTTGGTGGCAATAAAAAAACGACCCAATCAAGCCACAGCACCATCAACCCTCCGTTATTTTCCGAGCCCGATGACATGCCTGTTATTGAAAATTGCATAATGCCGGAATTGCATATATTGCAAGGTCTTGTTAACCATATTTTTTGGAAAGGCCTAGTGCCTCTTTTGGGAAAAGAAAAAGCCTTAATCTGGCCGCAGCATCTAAAATTAATATCTAAAAGCTACCACGGTGATTCTTTTGAAGGAAATGCATGTAGGAAGATGTTGAAAGAACCTGATTTTTTATTAAATCATAAATTGTGTGATCATATTGGTGGTCCGCTAGCCCTAGTCCCGTATGTGGCAGCTTTTAAAGAACTCGATAAAATAGTTCATGATTGTTTTTCGAATATGAGGCTTGGCGGAAACTTGCATATGTACATAACTGAGTTAAAAAAATCTCTTGCAGCCACAGACGTAGCTCAAAGCTAAATTATCATGTATCCGTTTGTCCGTTCATCCGGGAGTGCTCTTATTGGTCCAATTATAATTCGAAAATAATGACATTTTATCGGTCCGTCAAGTTTCAACTTCTTACGTCTGACGGAAATATTAAGTTCGTTATGTAAATAATGTTCTACTGTTATGTTTTTATTTAATAAGAATAACAGAAAAAGAAAAGACAAAGAAACAATTGTTGACATAATTGTAACTATGACAATTAAGCATTAGGTAAATTTAGTAAAGTGAATATACTGACCCTTTAAAAAACGGATGCATGAAAATTAGAACATTTCTTATCGGACGATTTTATTGAAAAATGGACAATACTTGAAAATTAAGCTTAAGTCGATCTGAACAATATTTTTAATATATATTTTAATATTTAACGTCATTACAACCAAAGATAATAATGGGGTGTATTATCTTTGATTACAACTAATCAAAAACCGTAACCATAGAAGCGCATTATAATTTTTTGAACTTAAAAATTTTAAACATATTTTTATATTTTTCTATACATCTTTGGAACTGAGGGGAAATTGGTAAAAGTATAAAATGAATTAGCCATTTTAGAATAACCAAAAAATTTTATAAAGAATGCATTTATCTCGAAAAATGAAAAATAAAAGTCAAATTGGGGACATACGGGAAAGGGTGCACTGTGTATTTTTTTATTTGAAGAGCTACAAGGTCGATTAAATTAGACTAAAGTATCATGATTACAAGTATATTAAAATTGCATTTAAAATTTGGGCAAATAATTAAAAAAAAACTGAAAACTATCAGAACGAAAAATCTTTATAACTTCTTTATTCCTGGGAATAAAAAAAAGTTTTAAACGTAAACAACACAATTGACCATATGCAAGGAATGCGGTCGATGTTGCCAATGGTAAAAAAATAAAATTCCCTATTGGGAACATTCAATTATATTACGTTGGCTACGTTGAAAATTTGAATTTCCCGCACAAACTAAATTAATTTCCATCTTTTTTTTTAATAATAATAAATAATAATAATTCCCATATTTAAAATTCGCACCTTAATTTATTATACAACATTGGAACTACCTTCTTTATCTCTGGGAACTACTAGAATGTATGTCAGTTTGTGCGGGAAATTCAAAATTTCAGTGTAGCCAACGTAATATAATTGAATGTTCCCAATAGGGAATTTTATTTTTTTACCATTGGCAACATCGACCGCATTCCTTGCATATGGTCAATTATCCACATTTTCATCCAATTTGTGATACCACCACCATCTTGTTTTTCGTATGGCCGCCATATTGTAATTTTACATTCTTGGATGGAAAAAAATTAAGGAATCCAACAATGTATCAAACTACATAAGTTATGGCGGTCATTATAAAAACAAAAGATGGTAACTCAAAACATAGTAGCAAAGAAATTGGATGAAAATGTATGATACATTATGTATCTACATGTGTATGTTTAGATGTAAAACTTACTTTGTTTCAATATAAGGAATAACAAAGTTATAAAGATTTTTGGTTTTGAAAGTTTTAGTTTTTTTTCTAATATTTTGAGAACTGCCAATTTATAAATTTCATGTTAATAGGCTTGTAATTACGCAACTTTTCTCTTATTTAACCGACCTTAAAACAAAAAACTACCCAAATAAGTATACACATGGGACTGTCCCATTGGGACATTCCACGAAAATTTGAACTTTTTTGTAAAAATTAAACTTTTAATATATAAATATTAAAATTAAAATGCAGTATTTATTTATTAACTTGAACTTATTTAATTCGTTTATTTATTTTTAATGTAAAATATAAGTAAATAATTTGGCTTTGTATTAATGATCTGGCTCTTTTTAAGAACTTTCTAACTTAAAATTTATTTAAATAAGTGTTTATTGTTAAGCTTGTTTAACGTTTATCAAAAGAAGGTAAGTTATTATTTGTTAAATTAATTGTTTTAATGGACATGCCTATTTGTCCCACCCGTCACAAACAAACCTAAATAGTTTTGATTTTAATAGAAATAATAATTTTTTTGAAAGCAGATTTTAATAGCAAATAAAGTCAATAATATCAAATATTTGGGGGTAATTTCAAGTCTATTAAATAAAATTTAAATTTTTTATAAATTATTATAATTTGTCCCACCCGTCACACTACGGCGTGTTTTGTAACTTTTTAAGTTAATCTATTTAAAAATCAGTTATCAGTTATTGTTAATGCAGGTGCAGTAAGTAAAATCCAGTTTTTCTGCATCTAATGCATTTAATAAATATTTATACTATATATATAATAAATATTTATACTATAATATTAAAAAAATGGCGTTTTATACTTTCTTTAAAAAATTAATTAAATAAAATACAAAGATATGAGTACCTTAGATGCAAAACTCGGTTTTTGCAAATTTAAAAAAAAAAAAAAATTGGCTTTAAATTCTGTTTGGTGTTCGTCCTAGATAAATGGCGTTTATAAAACTTGATACATAATAATATATATAATATAATATTATTATGTATCAAGTTTTATGAACGCCATTTATCTAGGACGAACACTAAACAGAATTTAAAGCCAATTTTATTTTATTTTTTAATTTGCAAAAACCGAGTTTTGCATCTAAGGTACTCATATAAGGTCTTTTGATTTTTTTAAATTTAAATAAGATGTATATATATATATATATATATATATATATATATATATATATATATATATATATATATATATATATATATATATATATATATATATATATATATATATATATAAATATATATATAATATATATTATATATATATATCCTTGCTTGGCAAAGAAATATAAATCTTATATAAAAATACATCTTATTTAAAATCAAAAAATTCAATATTCAAACATTGTTAAAAATGGACTACAAAAACTAGTAAATAAGGTTTTTTCTTGTCACCCTTCGAAATGCTAAAACTATCTTTAATTTAGATATGGATTCAGCTGTAGCTGTACGAAAAAGTGGAGATAAAATTAAAACAGACCCTATGAAATATATACAATTTATAAAAAATTAAACAACTAGGGATATAAAAGAAGGGCTGAAAGAAAGAATTTATTGAAAAATA